TCGAGGCAGTTAACTTGTCCTTTTTTCTAACACGAGGAAAAGTTTTCGATTACATTTAAATCCCAGCTGTTGGGTAGTAATTGAATGAGTTCGACCTTAAACTGGACCCCTCCAGAAATTGCATAAGATTGAAAAAATAATACATAATGAGATCTAACCGTTTTCTACTACCAACCTCAAGCGAGAGAGAGAGAGATTGTAGTACTGCTTCTAGGTAAAGTAAAGTGGTCAGCTGAAATAACCAGTCATCAATGGAACGGTGTGTCGAGTACTGTTCTTATTGTTCAACAGACCAATCGGGAAATATGAGCCTGTGTTTCACATCAAATATGATAAATGAATAATTTTGTTTCGGCTGCTTTCTTTTTCCCTTGACTGACCGATTAAGTAAACCCTTTCAATTTGGTACTGAGTTATATAATAAATAAGGATCAACTTAAGGAAGTAATGATGAGACAGTTGTTTTATTGTTGAAGCCAAATTTTATCCGCTAATTAAAAAAGATTTGGAGATAAATTGTTCTAAATGGTATTATTGCACTTTATCCCGAAAGATACATTAACCGTTAAAAGCGTCAGCATTAGCCCATTCGAAAAGTGCAAAGTTCGAATATGATTCAAAAAGAATATTCCATAGAGAGTCAGCCTGGAGTTTCACTCAGATATGTGAGCAGTGGCCTCGTGAATCAACGGAAATTTGTGCATGCTACTCGAGCCACAACATGAACCCGTAAAGCGGATACTATAGAAACTGGAACGTAGAATCTGTTCCAAAATGAATTATAAATGGGAACTAAACAGATTTTTCGCGGGCAAGTGGTCCCTTGTATGCTCAGGCAATTGCTTATTAAAAGTACCATAACCATTATATGTGCCTTGTCGTCAAATAGTGGATTCTGTTACTCTTTTACTTTGTAATGTCTCAATATGAGTTTAGGATGTTCTGTTACTAAGTGGATGGTGTACTGTGGAGAAAAGCGATGAATCAATGATCATGAAGCTTTTACAATTGTCGAAATGAGAGTGTGGCGGAAATTCCCCGCGCATTTACTCCCTCGATCAAACTTGAGGTCAATTGGCTTGTTTGCTTCAGGCCGCAAAATGCGATTGACTATGGACAAAATAACGTCCGGCGCCCCATATCGCTGATCCATAACTGAACCCTCAGTTGGCAAGATTCATTACTGGAATGTACTTCACAGAATATCGTCGACGGAGTAACAAGACATCTAAGATTGATTGTTGCATATCCTAAATTGAAAATTATATACACTGGGGGGAGCTTGTCTTGTTGAATAATACAGCGATCTACAATAAAAATCCTTTGGTTGTAATCACTCGCTGCATTTTTTCTTGAGAGAGCACCATTAAATTATTGGTTAATGAAGTCTTAAAATCGGCCGTTTTTAGAATACATCCTATGGTAATCATGCCCTTATTTTGCACTTTATGAGCAACATGCACTTGGTATCCTACTTTAGCTTTGAAACCATGCAACCCAATCACCAAACCAGGAGTCAGCTGGACGAGAGTCCAATCTTAGGGAATGCTATCCATAGTCTGCTGTCAAGCAATGCCTTTTCCGCCAATGACGCACCACCAATGTTTCCTGTGAGTGAAAGCTCCATGGTCCATTCAACTCCCGGCCGATATCCACATACCAACCACAGTATGCAAATGCTCATGCTTGCCTACCGAGAGTGGCTATGCACATTGTCCAGTTTTCAACCAAACCCAAATTCTGTGCCTAGATCGTCCAATGCTCTGCATTCTGAAACCGATTTCTCAACGGAACACCTCACAAGAGTTTCGGAATTATCCTCTACCTCGTTTTGTGATCCGTTGAGATACCCATTTCCGGATTCTTTAGAAGCCGTCAACTGGTTACGGAGACAATTGAATAGCCAATCGAACACTAATACATCATCCGATGCTTTATTAACTCAATCCATTGGCGATTTACCCGTTTCTTTCAAAAAGGAGAGTTCTTTGTCCGATCACAATTCCCCATCTGGGATGACCATAGCTCTGTCGCGGAAACCAGTCAAATCACCACAGAGAAAATCGTTTGAGTTCCCATCCACAAACACTGGCACTCTTAACTCCATTCGATCTCAGTTGAGGAAGGATCCCGGATGTGGAAGCAATTTTAATCCCATCGTTTTTGAAGGTAAGTTGAACCGTTCCTTTTTTGGATGAAAGAGGAACTACGTAGATGCACAGTGTTTGTTACCAATATGTGGGTTGTATGCGTTCCATCTGTACCAAAATAGCCAGATGTTGAAAAGCCCAAGTTGCTATCGCCTTTTGTACCTACTTCAGAGATAATAAGAAATTAAAAATTCTCATTATGGATATTTTTTAAATATTTAACCAGATTTGACAGAATACAGATATTTGACTTAGTCCTTTAAGAAATTTGCAAGTTAGGAGTCTCAGATTCATGAACGTATCGGTATTTATGGATCTGCACTCCTTCCTAGTACTAAAACATGCAAAACACAAGAAACTACTGAACGTGGGTTTACACTTTTCGTGCTGATATTATTTCAAATTCGGTAATGAGGAAATACGGATAAACTTTACAATCAGCGATTGTACGTGTGCCATAAGGATTAGCAATCTACCTATGAGAGAGACGAGAGATCGTGTTTATATATATATATATATATATCTGTTACTGAAAGAACTGTATTCTTTCGTTCATTGACGATATGAATCGCGCAACACTTCACATATCGATTTCATATTCTTGATTATGTCCCAAATTGAGAGCATTTATAGCATTCATATGTTTTTGTAAACTATTTTCATTTAACCAATTTTTGAAAATTTTGCTCTTCGTTCCGTGAAGTATCATATTATAAATCACCTCATACACAATTGCAATAGGACATCAGATCACTTTAAGATCAAAGAAGATTCCACCATACGAAAATCAGTTGTTTTTCTCTATATAGAAAGTGGTCGAACTTAAGTAAAAAGCAACTCGTTTTTGCAATTCTATTTTCATGCTGTTCTTCCCCGGGGTGATTTTAGTTTTATATGGCTTCATATAACAGAAAAAAGTAACGCCCGGAGATAAGAATACGTGGAGAGAAGTTGTACCACGTTCATGAACTTGTAACACACTACACACACTAATGCGGTTGTGATATAATGGTCTACATTGCACGAGCACTATCGCTCCATATTTAATTTGTTTATGTGTTCAACAACCGATTAACTACAACGAAAAGCGGCCAAATAGTACATGCGCTAACCGGCAAGCACATTTTGTACATGGCCTTCAAGAAGAACGNGTCTCTACTTATGATGGTCCTTTTAAACCTCATTAATTGTGTACCTGAGATGCATGCCGCACTCCACTTTATGCCTCCTGTCAATTGTGTTGCGGTATACTTGGGGAAAAGAAGAGTGCAGTTTGAGCTATTCACTTGCAGCGGTGAATTACACTAACTCCAACTGATACACGGGCTAACGGGAAGAGAATGTGACAAAACTTATGATATCCTAGATTGTACCAATTCCCACGGAATTCAACAGTTTACTTTTGAGTAACAAATGAGAGGCACTCCTCTTCCCAGTCTTGAAACCACTTGATTCGCTGATTTGTGTGTAATGAAGTTGGCAGAGGGACCA